TGATGGCGTTTCGCAATATTTACTCATAACAAACGAAAGCATCTCATCAACAGGAGCTACTAACTACCGCATCTTCTTCTCTGCATACCTCAATCATTCTAATGTTCAGGTGGATAGCCAAACCAACCCAGTGCCTCTTTTCCTAGCACATTGCCACATATACAGTGTCAATGTGCTCAAACCACTTCCGCTCTTCCTCCGCAACAAATGTGATAATCCTGTCACCCCATTTAACACGGTTCTTGTTCTTCGCTTGCTTAAAAGTTTTATATTTTTCCTGCAAATAATTCACAAACCAGGGAGATACAAATATAGATCATTAAGCTTCCAACACTGCTTCATGTCTTTTACCAAGGAATGCCATCAATACTTCCATATGATGTACACATCAGAAAAAGCTCTTCACTTACATTAATACATCCAACAAACTCAACTTAACAACCACCTATCAGACAAATACACTTACAAAAGTTGATACCCACTCCGTAGGCTTTGCAAGCTCCAAAAGGAATGGGCTAGTATTCACAAATCCGTCATCTGTTACATGTTCCTTACAATAATTACATTGGTACAAGATTGTTGACAAAAAAAAATTACAATGGTACAACTTTTAGTCATATGCAACCTTACCTTGCACAAAGTACATTAATACAAAGAAAAAATACATCTCACAATAAGGGGCAAGCTGTTAGTGTTTCCTTAAAGAAGGCATACTCAGCATTGTCAACAGAAGGTAGCAAATCTATCTTCTTCCTCTTAGATCTGATAGCAAACTGTTTCACAAGTGATTTTTCAATTTCTGATGCGGCTCTCAACTCTTTCTTTCTTCCAGGGGATGAATCACGAAGTTCAATATGCTCCACCAAAGTCTCTACCTCTAGGTTTTCTTCCTCACTTTCATTTCTATCATCAGCAACACCACCTATCTTCTGCCAAGTCCTCCGTGTTATCATCCACAACTATACGCACTGTAAAATCTAATGAACGACACACATCCTCCATTTCCTTAGCTTCCTCTACTATTTCCTGGAATATTCATAGCTTGTTAATTTTCAATACCAATAACAAGTCAACATAAATTATATGGATAATGCCGAAATTTAACCTTATCAGTAACATTACACTCAACATTACTACCACGAGCACACTCTATCCCATTTGTTCCCTCCTCACGTCCAAGAGCCTGCAACAAAGACGAGATTACCAAATTTCACACTACTCATTCAAAAAATATTCAAATCAATATATAACAAAACTAAACAAAACTTGCCTCCTTATCAGGTTGGCTACAAGAAGCAAGAGGATCAGACACATCCACCAATGTCTTTTAGCCGTTAGGCATTAAAGAGGGCGTTTCTTTGGCTTGAAGGGAAAGTTTCTGGAATCTTCTTAAGTCTGGTGTATGAGACGAATGGTTAGGATCTTCTGGAGTGAATAGACGGCCTGGATCAAGAGATGAAAGCGTAGTCTTGAGAGAAAAGGCAAAGGCTNCTCCGAAAAAGGAAAGTTTCTCTTTCTTTGGTCTTGGGCGAATGGAAAGAAGTGNTGTCNTTTCTGAAGCTTCTAAATGGCGTGTAGTCTTCATAGGAATGAAAATAAACAGTAAGGAGTCTTCACATTCGTTGGTTGAGTCATATGTGTGGTTTAAGTCGCCGGTAAAGGTCAAATTGAGCCTTTGTGATCCATCTTCAATTATGCCTCTCATGGACGTGCC